ATAAGGTCTTAAATTATCCATTATTGTTATATGTTGACGGTCTTAGACTCTCAACCATCATAATAATGTGATATTTTACATAGTGTCCCAAGAGTTCCTGTCCCAGAAGCCTATCCATGAAATCAGCCCCCCTCCTCCCCACCTTCTCCCAGTCTTTCATGTCACACACATTCTCCTTCCTTCCTTTAAAGGAAATTAATGTGATCAACGTCACAAAGTCCTTGAACTTTGTCTACTGGAACACTGGGAGGAAAACTTTTCCAAAATATTTTAAACAATTTAATTACAACCTCTCCAAGGACGGACACAAAGTGAAAGCAGTGACTGAAGAAGATGTAGTGAAATCTATTAGAATCAGAGGACAAGGGGAGAATTAGAGAGGAAGAATCAGCAGTTTTGCCATTTGGGGAATAAAGCAGTGTTCTGCCAGCTCGGTGATCTTAGAACAAATGCATGGAGGGGAAATGTTCCAGGAAGCAAAGCAAGTCGGCCTTATAGACTAAGAAATACAAGAGAGACTCTGGGAGGCACAAGGAAAAGAAATCTTGAGATGTCAATGCAGAAGTGAAGTCAATGTGGACAAGCCCTAGGCATTTCCTCACCTTAACAGAAGTCTGACAGGTCCTGACCAGAGCTGGGACATCTCTAAGATGGAAGAAGAAACCCAAGACACTCTAAAGTTGGGTGTAAAAGTTCTTTGAATATTTAGGAAGAATAGTCCTCCAGAAAGCCTAAAATCCTCTTGCATTACTTTGAAAATCAGAACCACCCCATGAGCTTCAGAAGCACATGCAAGATCCCAGTGGTCACTAGGGAAAATAGTAGGAACTGTGTGGCTAACATGGGACATGATATGCAGAGGCCCAGGTGCCTTGGGATCCCTAGAAAAATTGAGAACATACCATCAGCACTTGATTAAATCTGCTGTCAATCCAATTGGTGTCTTTGAGAAAAGGGAACAGTTTCCTTTATCTCCTGAGTGGACACAGTTCTGTGCTAGGACACACACTGAGGCTTAAATATATAAATATATATATAAATCAAGAATTGCATCTGGCATTTAGAATTTACTCAATAAATGCTAGTCATTTAAATTTTTTTCCCTATTCACAGCAAATGTTACACAAAATGTTAAAGTTAAATGGGACTTGTAAAACATTTACCAAAACATGGTTTTCAAGCTGGGCCTTGGAAAATGCAGGGTTCTCAAATGTAGCAAAATAAGACAAAAACATTCCAAGCATTGGGAACACATAGAAAAGCACAGACCACATTCCAGAGTAGTAAGCAGACCTATTTATCAGAAACCAAATGGAATGTGTAGGTGAGGACTGAAAAACAAGTCTGGGGGTTGAATAGTATAGCAGGCAGGGTGATACCCACTACCCCATATGGTCCCCTAAATATGAATACCACCAGGAATTTTACCCCTGAGCACAGAGACAGGAGTAAATTCTGAGCATAGCCAGATATGCACCAAAACCAAAAAACAAAGAGAGAGAAAAGAAGGAGGAGGAGGAGGAGGAAAAAGAAGAAGAAGGAGAAGGAGAAGGAGAAGAAGAAGAAGAAGAAGAAGAAGAAGAAGAAGAAGAAGAAGAAGAAGAAGAAGATCCGTATGCTAATTTTTGAGAGAATATATATACAAATATGCATGTTCCGGATATTTTGTATATATATATATATATACTGTATATCTGTGTCTATATATTTTATATATATAATGTATATACATATATATATAAAACATTCCTTTTGCTGTAGTCATCAGTGAAAAATAAAGAAGACTTCACTCATAATCACCTGCAATCCAGTTCCTGTTCTACGGAATCTTTTCGCTCAAAGGCCTTCTACTGAAGTACTTCTTTGAAATATCAATCATTGACTTAGGAATCTTCCCAAAATGCAGATTTTAATATGGTATATCTGAAGTGAGGCCTAAGTGCTTATATTTTTAGTGAGATTCCAGGTGCTACTCTGAATACCACGGGCCTAATCTGGTGGCCTTTTCCCTCTACTGGGCCTTGCTGATCTTCCCAAAGCCCAGTACATCTAACACTCTCACTCTGCTCGAACTATTTCTTAAAGCCTGCTTGGTGACAGACAGACAGCCCAGTACACATAGACTTGTCTTACACACAGCCTTCATTATATAAGACAAGGTTGCCATTTATAACAATACCCCTCCATTATAATATAATGAATTATATTTTAATATTATATATACTATTTTATATTATATTATAATGAATAGTAAAAGTAAGTAAAGTAAAGTAAAGTAAAGGCCCTCCCGTTGATCGTTGATTTGCTCGAGCGGGCCCAGTAACGTCTCCATTGGAGACTTTGTTGTTACTGTGTTTGGCATATCGAATACATCACGGGTGGCTTGCCAGGCTCTGCCATGCGGGTGAGATACTCTCGGTAGCTTGCCGGGCTCTCCGAGAGGGGCGGAGGAATCGAACTTGGGTCGGCCATGTTGGCTGTGTGCAAGGCAAACACCCTACTGCTGTGCTATCGCTCCATAAAATCCCAATATAATATATTAACTGCAAACTTAAGGTCAGTCTTTATTATCCAAATACCTGTAAATACATTCATTTCTTTGGTCCTTTAAATGCAAATATCGCAAATGATCCCCTAATGAAAGGACTATATCGGGTACAGCAGATACCTATTAACCATCTCACTATACTTCCAGCTTCATTGAGAAACAATAGCAAATACCTATTAACCATCTCATCATACTTGCAGCTTCGTTGAGAAACAATCTCCCCTGAGCTTCCTTCCACATCTCACTCTACCTATCACATGAGGTCTAGCTACAGAAGTAGACTCCTGAGCAACATTAGGTTATCTTTATTCTTTATCTGAGAATTTATGCTACAGTGGAGCAAGAGGGTCTTTTTGCCCCAAGACCCAGGGAGGCAAGTCAGCCTCTTGTTTTGTGTACAAAGCAGAAATTATGAGCTTGTCAACTCATTGGAGACCATATTCTGCCTAGTGTACTGAAAAGAGAAAACAAAAATCAACTGTGAAAAAGGGGGGGGGGAGAGTCATGAGCACAGAAAAAAAGTCATGAGCAAGCGCAGAAAAAGAACTCTACAGAATGGCGCACTGACACTGTCACCCATCTCACAAAGGTCACACGTGCAAGTCAAGGCAGCAAACCTGATGATTTCTCCCAGCCTCAGCAAGATAAGCACCTGGGCCAAGCTGCAGAGAGACAGTTGTTTCTTCCCGTTATCTTGTGGAAGACTGCCAGAAGGCCATTTCTCATGCATTCCCCTCAGTTCAGTTATACAGGCCTTCCACCTCACTCCCACTCAGGGTATCATTGCAGATGTGAGCATAAATTTATTTTTCACATTTTTTCAAAACTTTTACAAGTTATAAAACTTTTAAAATTTTAAGTTACTTTTCTGTTACAAAATTTATTAAAAAAAATTCTGAGTCTATTTGAAAGTGTTTTTCCATAATCAGGTAAATCTATGTTTCAACTGCACCTAGCAGTTGAAGCAGTAATACTTGTGACACTACTGTCAGTCAGAACCTGAGCTTCTTGGAAATTATTTAATCATTTGATAAAGAGAAGAGAGGGCAAGAGTTCACTCCCTGAGGTGCTTTCAGTACTTTAGTTCAATTCCAGTCCTCAAATGCTATCCATTAGATTCCCATTAGAAATTGGTGTTTCTCCAATAAGTTATTCAATAGCATTCTTCCCTCAAGAAAGTAAAAATGTATTTCTCAATTTTATCATCGAAACATAATACACAGTAGTATTGATTTGATGATAGTTTTGATAAGCAGAATTTCATTACTAGAGACTCGTGCATTTTTTTGTATTTATTAAAATACGGCTGTTCTTGTATCTTGATTTCTTTTTGCCCCAAGACCTAAGAACTAATACGTGTAACATGATTAGCTTGCAAGTATCAAAGTCAGATATAATATGAAGTTTTTATAATTCCCAGAAGGAGGGAGAGGAAGGGAGGGGGGAGAGAGAGAGAGAGAGAGAGAGAGAGAGAGAGAGAGAGAGAGAGAGAGAGACGAGAGAAATAACAAAAGTACCAGTCATAGAGGCAGGTTTGACAGGCTTGATGCTGGGGATGGCAGAAGGGAAACTGGGGACACTGGTGATAGAAAAGGTTCCCTGCTGAAGGGCCGGGTATTGGAACCTTGTATGACTAAAATCCAAACATGAATAACTTTGTAACTATGTATCTCAAGGTGACTCAATCTTTATTTTTTAAATGAGCTTTAGGAAAACTTTTATGAAAAAGTAGAAAAAACACATGATTCTTCTTTACTATGATAAAACTTTGTTACTGTGATCAATTATCAATAATTCCACAGTACTAAGCAAATAGTTTCATAAGGTCTGCGACTTTCTCTAGCTACACATAGTATTTATAAGATCAATTATAAATGATTTTTAAATCCCCCCCCCACACACACACACACTAAACTTTCCGCAAATGAATGTGGAGCCAATATCAAAGGTGTTTATAAGAGTTCACACAGGCCTTTGATTTTAACATGCCTGTTTAAAGCGAATACCCCCCTCCTCCCCAGCACCCACCCACCCACACACACACATGCCCCCAACCCCAGTAGTAATTAAGACAAGTCTGAGTCCTGGGGTCCCTACTCTAGTGTAAGATCCAAGTTCCGAAAAGTCTACAGGAACTAGCAAAATTCAACCTAAGGATTGTGCTGGAGTGGAACGGCCGGTGGCAAGGCCTTCTTCTCCTTTCTGCTCGGGAACCGAGAAGCCCTGGAACCCGCGAACGGCGGGCGCGGGCGCCCCGACTCCTTTACCAGGGGGCACCCGCGGCGGCCAGCGGCCCGCTCGGGACACCTCCGGGCTCTCCCCGGGGCGCACGGGGTTCGAAAGCGCCACCACCGCCACCCTCTCTGCCGTGGGGCAGCCCGTGGGAGAAACGTATTCAGGAGACGCGAAGTGAAAAAGACGGCGACGCGCGGGCGCGGCGGGGCGGCCTTACCCGCGGAGCCGCCGGCCAGGACCTGCCGGGCCGCGTCGCTCGCGAAGCCGGCGTGGGGTCTGGTGGACATCGTCCCGGAGCTCGTGGACACGCGCGCGTCGCTCCCTGCGGGCGGCAACCCCGTGACTGGCGTCCTGCTGGGGCCTCGGCTCCGACGGCTCGTGGCGCCCTCTCGCCCCACTTGGCTCCGGGGCGACCCCGAGCGCTGCCCGCCGGGTGTGGGCGTCTAGATTGTGCGCCCCCCCCCCCCCCCAACACACACCCTCCTGTCCTATCGGCCGCTGCCCGCTCGCTGCAGGGCGCCGCAAGCTGCTCCCGATAACCCGGTTGAGTAAATGCGGCCAGGCCCGGAGCGCAACGACCCTTGTCCCCCGCGCCGCAGTGGGGCACAGTGCATTTCTCTCAAACCACTACCCATAAGGACAAGTGAAGGGGGAGAAATAAAGGCCTGGACATCGCCTGGCCTGCAGCAGTGACAGCTAACGGTGGACAAGGGCCCTTACGGGGAAGCCAATCGATCTCATTCCCTTACCCCTTAGAGATTTTATTTACTGAAAGGTGAGAAAGATTATTTACTACAAATCATCTGGGTCAGTGATTCTCAAGAGCTTGAACTTGGGACTTGGGAGTATCTGCATAACTAATGATTTGTAGAAAGTTTGTAGAAAGGCAAATGCATTCGTCTTTCTGGCGTTTAAGTCTGTAAAACACTGACCTCAATAAGGAATTATCAGTGTAGTCTCTCTACAAATCATTTTATTATTCATGGTAAATTATACACACACACACGCACACACACCACACACTCCAGCAAAACAAAAACATTTAAACATACGACTTTAAACAATAAATTCTAAATGTTAGGTTGGAGCAGTACAAGACGTTGTAATTCAAAACTTTATCATACGACTTTGGAACCTCTATTGTCATATTATCTTAAATATAGTATTTCATACCAAATAAATATTTAGTATGAACCATTAAAAAATTGAAGGCAAAAATTAGCTGGATTAACAATAAAATATGGTCACAGATAAATATTTCTGATATTTATCAGATAAAAATAAAATGACTGCCTTCAATTTTTGTTTTAATTTCTTAAACTGAACTACTAAGTTGGTAATAACAATATATGAAAAATTATCTAACATAAGAAGTTAGAGGAGCTTACATGACTAGACATGTAAAATAAGTATGAACAGGACTAAGCCTTTGGCTGGAGCGATAGCACAGTGGGTAGGGCGTTTGCCTTGCATGCAGCCAACATGGCCCACCCGAGTTCGATTCCTCCACCCCTCTCGGAGAGCCCGGCAAGCTACCGAGAGTGTCTCGCCCACACAGCAAAGCTAGCAAGCTACCCATGACATATTCAATATGCCAAAAACAGTAACAAGTCTCACAATTTGTTGTGAGACGTTACTGGTGCCCACTCGAGCAAATTGATGAACAACGGGAGGACAGTGCTACAGGACTAAGCTTGAAAATATTTACCCAGAAATAACAGGCAGAAATGTTTAGTAGACTAATAACTTTTAAGCAGTGTTTTATATTGTAGTAATTAAATATGAGATCTTGACACAATATAGAATTATGCATTAATATATAGAGAAATAATATTGAGCACTAGAATCAGATTCCAAAGCTCCTAGAAACATTTATTTTCCAGTAAGAAAACTAAGTCTCCTGAGATCACACTAAAAGTTACAGCATAGCTAGGATTTAATTCTAGAATCCCTTCTTCTCATACAATGGAGTTATAGACTTCAATATTACACAAAGAGACTGAATTGGCCTCAGTTGCAAAACACCATCTGACTTGTGAAGTTGCTCACTTTGATGTCAAGCTCAATCAATATGCCCTGAGTTCAGTCCATGCTCTACTATCTGAGACCCCAGAGACCACAAGAACCAAAGGAAGCACCAGCCCTATAGCTAAGGGTGTGACCTCTCCCAGCCAAGCACCACTGCCTAAAGCCAGTCAATCAGATTGGTGCCTTTAATCTCCATCCAGCAGAGGGGGTCCAGAGAATGAGTCAGAAACAAATCGGGAGATAGACACATATAAAACGTCCAAGCTTTGGCATTGCCTGGTCAGCTATAAGTGGGTGTACTTGCTGACCATTTATTCATACAATATTACTCCCTCAGTCTGGTTCCCAACACATGAGTTATTGTTTACATTGACAGACATTATGAACAGTTAGTAAGCACATTAAAATAGACCAGAGAGTCATATATTTCACATAGCCAATCTGCAGGCACCCTTGAAGTATAAAGTCCTAACAGTTTTCTATTCTACTTTTGCCTATGTTGCACACTATATCTTCAAGACTCTAAATTGTTTTAGAAGATCCTTTCTTGGGCACATTTTTGCTTGCCATGTAATTTTTTTCTTTCCCTTCCCAGGTATGTGTTTGCTGAACTATTTGTATTCTAAAACCTAAGCTGTTTTGCCCAAGGGACAATCCTGATCATGGGGATGGTGCTGGATTTTGTTAGGGAAAAGATATACCACAATCAAGGGGTATGTGTGTGTATGTGTGTGTTTGTGTGTGCGTGTGTGTGTGTGTGTGTGAGAGAGAGAGAGAGAGAGAGTGTGTGCGTGTACCATAACTAAAGAATAACTAAAGTACATGCCCTCCCCCAGCAAGTACTATGGCTGTGTGCCAGCACTACAAGCAAGCATCATCTATAGACTGCAGTCATCATAACAACAAAAGGAATGGAAGATAAAATAAATAAAACTAACCCTACATTCTGCTACATGGAAACGTAATGTAATTTCACAAAAATCACAAATCATCCTATTATTCATCGATTGCCTCGAGCAGGCCCCAGTAATGTCTCTTTCATCCTAGCCCTGAGATTATATTCAAGGCTCTTTAGGAGAATGAGACCCATCATTGTTACTAGTATTTAGCATATTGGGTACGCCACAGGGAGTTTGCCAGACTCTGCCGTGTGGGCAGGCTACATTCAGTAGCCTGCCAGTTTGTCCAAAGTAGGAATGAGATAATAAGATGTCACAATAAGATGTCGTGCGGCCTCATTTGTGGCCACGCGGTTCCAGGAGCTGGTTTTTATAGTTTCTGAGTCTTGGCCGTTGATGGGATTACAATAGCCAAGACTCAGAGACTATAAAAAACCAGCTCCCGGAAGAGAACAGTGCAATCTCCTGCCCCCGTGCCTGGCTGTCCTCGCCGGGGCCCCTTGGAGGGGAGCGGGTTGAGCTTTCCTCCCTGCCCCGACCAGGGCTCTGGCAGCCGAAGACCTCCAGGACCAGCCACCACCATGCTGAGACCACTCTCCGCACACATGAAGGTACTGGCAGAGGGACAAAGCCACGCGGGTTCCAGGGCCGAGATCTCCAAGCCCACTCGGATTGGGGCCGAGCATCCTCCACCCAGATCCTCCAAATTCTAGTAGGCGGGGGTCACACCCACCAACTGGCCCCCTGGCGCGGTGTAATGTAATTTATCCTCCCAAATTAATATTTTATTTAGAGAAATTTTAAGTTAAAAATTAATTACAACTATTAAACAAAACATAAACCGAACCAAATTCCACATTTAAGGGATTAATAAATATAAGTGCTTTTACTGGGACTGACAAAGTAATATTTAAAATCCCTATATATTATCTAATGTAGAAGATAAAACAATCTTGTAGTATAGTAAATTTATGCATTCCCTAGATTATTTTAGAAAATATAGTAATCATTTCAGGAAAAGATTTTTTTTTCAAGTAAAGTTTTAAATTACAGCCTTTGTTTGGTTGGTTGGTTTTAGTCCACACCCTACTGTACTCATGGTTTACTCCTTGCTCTGTGCTCAGGAATTACTCCTAGCTACGCTATAGGACCAAACATAGTACCCAGGATCAAACGGGGATCTGCCTAGAGAAAGGAAAGCACTTTAACCCCCTGCCATCTCTCCAGCCATAAACACAGACTTTTAATCTCACCCATTATATCCAAGTGTCTAATCTCTGAGGAGACTAGGAAACCCTGCGGCTCTCTCTCTCCACCTGCGTCCAGTGGTCTCAGGCCACTTCCCCACCCTGGATGGCCAATGCCATGGGTGGACGAAGGAGGAAATGAGGGCCAGGCTGGTTGGTGATCAGTTGCCATTTATTCCATTCTCCCCACGCGCCTGTTCCAATCCCACTAAGCTCCCCATTCTGATCTCACACTGCCTCTCATTCCGGTCTTCTCCTGTCTCTCCTGTTCATCTCTCCGCACTCCCTCTCACAGCTGTGTCTCTCATCTCTCCATGCACCTGCTTCTGCATTTCCCCCCTACATTCTTCTCCCTCTGTCCTCCTTGCTACTCTCTCCATGCTCCATCTTGCTTCCCTGGTCTCTCTCTAGTCTCTCACACACTCTCTGCATTGAGGGTAGACTATGCACCCTGTCCAGTAGCACAATCAACATATCAAAAGCCCTTCTCCTATCAGGCTCAAGGGCAAAATACCACTTAGGGGGGTTTCTCCTCTCCTTAGTAAAATAAATTAATTAACATTTTAATTCTACTTCTTAATATTAGTTATTTTGTATGGACACCGAAAGAGATACATTAAGCTTGTAGGGTGACTCTCCTGGGGACATCTCACTATAGATTTCAGACTACAGTGCTCAGTCCAGATTAATCTTTTCTCACCATAGCAGGGTCCTAATTCAGTTGTTACTTTTTGGATCATTACAGAATTTGTCCTTGACCATGCTCTTAACTTATAGTTAAGCATTAAGGCACTTTGGCCTGGCCCATTTTGATGCCAGTATAGCTCACAGCTTGCCCTGAGTCCATCCAGTCCACCCAAAACCCTGCTTTTGGGATTCTAGGAAGTAAGAGCAACTGAGGCTTAAGTCATGAGAACAGATGCCCCAGAGTGCATATTATTTGAAGTCAATTAACTCCCAAGTTACAAAAGCATAGCATTAATTGTCTTCCTGTGTCCATACAAAAAGGACATTGCTCTGAATTAACTATGCAAAGGACTTAAGGAGAAGAGAAAAGCAATATTTACAAGTTAACAGAGTCTGTTTGGGTGATTCACCAGTTGGGGAAACAGAGCACAAAGAAAGAAGTTACAAGTAAATACAGAGGAATGGGAGTACTGTGATGGGAGTAACCCAGTAAACCTAAACTCCCTGTGGCAAGGCAGAAAGGACAAACCAATGTTATCCTACATTCAAGAGTACCTTACTCTTTGATTCGTTAATCCTGAGGAGGCAGCAGCAATTTTGTGTTCTCTCTAGGACCTGTG